ATTAATGAAAATAATGGTTATGTGTACGCTTTTGTCTTATCTGTACCTTTCCTTACATGACTTCTCCCATCTGGAATGTCTGCCATGTGAAAGTATGACAGATGAAGGCTACCGTACAAGCTGCCACAGGCAGGCATGGGCAAGACTGGAAAGTCAGGGGCCAAGAGCCACAGAATACCTTCCTCTGTGTGTGTGTGTGTGTGTGTGTGTGTGTGTGTGTGTGTGTGTGTGTGTTTGTGTGTTTGTGTGTGTGTGTGTGTCCCACTCTGTAAGAGAGGTGAAAGATGTATCCTACATACCAGGAGTTCTTGCTCAGGGAGAAGCAGCTTGTCTGGACTTGGCCAGGATTATCTGTGTGAGTCTACCTGTTTGAGTACAGAAAGTCACAGCTGAGGCAGAGACAGAAAGGTGTAAGCGGACACGTTGTCCTCCAGGTGGACAGCAGCAAGAAAAACAGGAGTTTGGGATGGAGGAAGAGGAGGAAGGTGAGAGATGAAGTAGAATGGAGTAGAATAGGTAACTGGGCAGATTAACAATCACATAATTCAGACATTTAAACAGGTAAATTACAGGTAAATATCTATTTAGATCAGTGGTTCTCAACGAGAAGGGTCGAGGGACCCCCGGGGGTCTTTAAGGAGATTCAAGGCTTCCCCCCCAGAAAAATAGGGAATAATTAAATTTCACTATTATTTCATTGACAGTCAGCCCAAAGACAGAATTATTTCACACTCTTCACTGTTCATTTGCTGATCTACGGAATAGATGGATTAACTAAATCTTATCAGACGGGGATCCCTGAGACAAATGATCAAATACAGGTCTGCAACAGTTTGTGGGTCCTTGACACCAAAAAGTTTGAGAATCACTGACTTAGATCATTAGTATTTTAAAAGTGGCGTCAGAACATTTAAGGGAAGGTAAGGGAAAATGCTTTAAACATGTTTTATATAACTGATCTATCACTTTGCCTATCACTCTTCAAAACAATGCCTATAATGGATTATAATTTAATCTAATGTAATGATTAAAATATACACAACATATAAATAATTATTGCATTACTACAAGTAAGAAAATATATTCATAACTTGTTACATTTGCAGCAATACTGTCAATGGGTTTTGGAAGATCTTGCAGATAAGGGTCCCCGGCCGTAAGCTAATGCTGTTCGGGAATCCTTGGCTTTGGAATTTTACGGAACCCCTGACCCAGAGTATAAAATCAAAAATAAAGTCAAAACCAACATGAAGTGTCTTAGTAAGGTGCTGGACCACCATTAGCCACCACAACAGTTGTATTGCTCCTTGCAATAGACTCTATAAGACTCTGAACTCTCCTCGAGGGATGAACATCCATCCTCCAACAGACGTTTCTTCATTTTGGTGATTTGATGATGATGTTATAGCTGTTCACACCAGTAGACTCTTCGTTGCCTTCTTTTGTTATGGTAGATAAAACATGATAAAGTGCCCTTTAGGGTACTAATCCTAAAATATAAAATTATTAATTATATAAATTATGTATGTAAACCTTATACCGATCTTTTTTGTCTAAATCTGAAATTCCATAACATTTGTGTTGAAACTGACATTTGATCCAGTGCCGTTGACTCCATTCACAGCCACAAATATCAGAGAGCTGCTGCTGTTAGTGAGGTTACTGAGTGCTGTCACCGCCTTCACAATCAGCCTCTGTCTGACCGGCTTATGTCTGCCCGACAACAGACCTCACCTCTCCTTCAGTTGCACTCTGCGTGTATAAGTGTGTAAGTGTGTGTGTATGTGTGTAGAGGTAAGAAATTAACTTCTTTCTGCCTGAAGGCATAGTTTGCCCTCTTGATGTGATTCTGCAGTGCATGTCAGGGTCAGTTTTAATAAAACAATGAACAAATGCATTTGCCTTGCATAAGAGTCTAAAGCACTCAGTGTGTGCCATTAAGTTTGGTTTTAACCTTTTCTCCCTCAGAGATAGACTGATGTGTGATATTAATGGTTTGAGTTTTCATTTTATGTCCTTTCTTTTTCCCAAAATACACTTTAAAAACAACTGTCTGTGTGTGCGCGCTATCTATGTCAATCAAGTCACGTGGTACAAGGCCTCTAAAGGCAGCAGTGAAAGTTACCAGCATGTGGATGTGTTGTGACTGTGTCATGACTTGTGTACAGCCCGACTGGTCTGGCAACATTGTGGCATGTCACGGTGGTGCAGCAGTAGCAGTGGACTGTGGCAAAACCTGTTGGTTTGGAAAAAAAAACTAAATGGGAAAGTGTGAGGGGGGAGCATGGAGAGGAAGTGGCCAATGGGGAAGATGAAATCAAACTTCCTCTTCCCTCAACAGCCTCCAGAGAAACAAGGAGGTCACACACAACCCTGACAGCCGCTGTTTCTCCCTCGTGAAGTTATGTTTCAAAGACTGAGCAATGTAGTCTCTACTCGGAAATGCAAGAATCTTTTCTTGACCCTCTTGGAAACAAAGTGATCCTAGATATGTGACCATGCAGTGAGGGAATATAAACCAGCAAAAAATATAATTTACAACAAAAGTTTCCTTTAAAAACAACCTGGCTGAGCCGAAAGTGAACCTGAAAGCCCTTGTGGTGGGAGGAAAAGACCCAAATGGGAAAAAATCTCAGGCTGTCTGCGGCAAACCCCTGCTTATTCATACGCACAATAGACAGCCAGATAATATTCTCCTCCACTATTGAATAGCTGACACCTGGAAGATTTGCTTTCACACAGGCCCCAAGGCTGGACAACCTCACCCCAAACCTAAGCTATAGCAAGTCCCTGCACAACATCCTCCAGGGTGGGAGAACTTGAGCAATGCATGGCTTTTGTCATTTTTTCCCCTTCTTTCTTTTACTTTTTGCCCCCTTCTGAAAGCATAATCACACCCTTCTCTCATGAGAGATATTTCCCCCCTCTCACAAAAGGCTGAAAGGATTGTCTCTCTTCTCTTATGATGAGGAGAGAAAAAAAGCAGGAAGGTGGAGGGGGACACAATGGCTGGCTGGAGACTTTTCTCACAATGATAAAATTTCTCTTAAGACAGTCATGACACCTCACTGTCGGGAAGATCTTCAACTGGAATAAGTGTGGTTAGTGAATAAAAATAGACACTTCTCTTTACTTTGACTTTCTAATAAAGACAAATAAGTGAATGCAACTCACAACTTAACAAATAAAAACTATGATTTCCCTGCTTTCTTTATAGACTTATTGCTGTTTTGGTGTTAGTGGGGCAGCGTGCTGTACCTATCATGTGATAACTGGAGTTGCAGTTAATTTACATTTTAGCTGAATTTATTCAAATGCTGGGCAAAGGTGAACAGCTCCACTGCTCCCACGCGACGGCAAAAACCACAGTCGCACATAGAAAAGATTAATTTCTAATGCTGTCCCATTCTATGTCTGTCTTTACTCATCGTGCTGCAGCAGTGTTTATATAGCTGTGATTACAAAAAAAAACATGATTATATACTTAACAACCAGAACAGGACCAGCAGTACACACAGTAAATGTTCAGATTGTAAATATGATGATTCAGTTCTTCAGAAATGTGTTATTGTGTGTTGGAGGCTTGCAGTGAACATGATGTGGATGCTGATGATGCAGCCACACAGACAACATGATTTAACCCTGATGTTTGACTGATATCTCATATAAAAACACACACACACACACACACACACACACACACACACACACACACACACACACACACACACACAAACACACTGAACCATACGCCAGCACCCCTTACCTGCCCCCTAGTGTTACCTTGAGGGAACAGCTCTTTCATCACAGTTGGTAGTGATGTCTAATGGTTTTGGTTCTGTGTACACCGTATACCAATAAAGACTAAACATTCAGCTAAAAATAGAATACTTGAAGGTGCAGAAAAGCTCAGTAAATAGCAAATAATCTGATGGATAACACAAAGAAAACAATATCTGAAAACATTTGACACTGGACAAATAATATAGATCTGCTTAATTGAAAGAAAAACAGATGGAGCTGTTATACATTTTTAAAGAAAACAGAAAACAAGAAACATATGATTAAATAGACATTTTTTTCCCACACAATCTATTATTTATTTTTTTTTTACTTTATATTACAAGATAAGATAAGATAAGACTTTATTGATCCCACACTGGGAAAATTAACTTGTCTAGCAGCTCCAGCTAGAACACAGCAGATAAGAAAAAGAAATACACATTAAATAACAAAGTAAAATAGAAAAAAACAAGATATAAAGAAAAAATATCCTCTGCATTTCTTCAAAGCTAAAATAAATGTGGGAACACTTACAACACAAACAATTAGATTTGAATCAACCAAACAAATAAAGAAATAAAGAAACTTTACCAGGCATGTGTTTGAAGGTATATATTTTATTAATAGTAATAACAGCAGCATTGTGAATAAAGCAGTGCATAAAACATAACTGAAGCATACCTATGTGCATTCAGTTTGATATCATTCTTCTTCATCTGTTATCTTGTCTTAATTTCCTGTTTCTGTGAATGTGCACTAACCAAACTCTACCACTCGGGGGCAACATTGCCAATGTCATGTATGTGCAGCATGGTGACTATCATTGACTGTATAAAGACATTTATATTTATATATTGTCAATGGCGAATTCAATCAGCCAGCCCCATTAGTGCATTCACGGATTCCTCTTATAATAGTAAATATGATTACATCCCGACATACTTCTATCCCATAACTCCGTTGCCATTCTCCCTAGAGCTGGCAAAAGCAGTAGGCCTATGTCTGACATTGACAACCTAGATTACATGATACACATATCGATTAGTTATCCCAACAATAATACTGATAGGTTATTTGTGTTGTGCTGTCATTCACTAAAATATATTATACTGCTCCTAACATATGTAACGTTCATTTTCTAGGATAAATATTTTGGAAATAAATATGAAAGCCTATGTTCATGTTTTTATTTTTAACCGAAACTTTAAAATTACTATGAAAAGCGAATCTTTCGAGTGTCATTGAACGCAGCAGCAGCCTTCAGCTGTCTGGGAACTGAGCAGCTGTCAGACTACAGTGAGTTCACCCAGCAAACGACGCGTACTCTTGGTTTTAAGGTAAGAACTGCTGCCATTTTATGGTTTTTATAAGATATAACATATCGCTGGGGCTTTTTTATGGTTAACGTTACCCGCAGAGCGACGGAAATATTCACCGTAGCCGGCTAGCTAACGAAGTAGCCAGAGTGAGCTGAGGCTAGCATGTAGGCTAACCCACGTTACAGCTGGGTGTCACCTGCAGGAAATCAAACTGATGTGACCTCGATGACAAAGAGCCAGATGTGCTGTGGTAACTGGTTTGTTTAGTCTCAATGAAAACCGTAAACGGGAAGACTAAACGAAGAGCTGGACGTGAGATCTCAGTTTAAAAACAGCAGCGTTAGCTAGCTGTTAACTTGGCTAATTCGATTGTATTCTGTTATTGTCCCTACATCACAAGGTTGATACAACTGTAAAGACTAATAAAGCCTTATAACCTTTCACTCCTTAAGCTCTAACAACTAATACAACTGTTTCTAAAATCAGCTAACTTGTTAGCCAGCATATGGTGTTGACACAAGTTAGCATACTGCGTGTTTTCAGATTTTAATCAACGCTAGTTAACACTCAATACATTGTTGAGTAACTTCTTACTATTAATAGAAGCTGCTAGTAAAGCACGGCTGGATTACCAACAGGGAGAAGTGGGCAACTGCAATTTCCTATACTTCCAGGGGGGCTTAAAATCCTCAAGGGTCACCCTCTCTATCAGAGTGTGGTAAATTGGGAATAAGCCCCACTAAGGCTTAGAAACTGTGGGTGTTGCATTATTACATAATATCATGTTAAAATCCAGGGGGCCCATAGCTCATGCTTGCCCTAGGGCCCTTTACTCGGTTAATGTGGCCACTCTGGTAGTGTGCTTGTGTTCTCAGGGGACCTCGTTGTAGTTATGGACTGAGTCCTGCCCACATGCCCAAACCTTCACCTGCATCAATCTAAATCTTAGCAAGGATGTTATTGAAAGTGCCCTCCGTGGTACGACCACCCACCTAGAGCCGGAGGATCTGTCCTAGGTTTCTGCCTTTTAACAGGCAGTTTTTCCTTGCCCTTGTCGCCAAGTGCTTGCTCATGGTGGTACTGTCGGGTCTCTGTAATTAATGTTAAAGAGTTCGGTCTAGACCTGCTCTATTTGAAAAGTGTCCTGAGATAACTTCTGTTATGAATTGGCGCTATACAAATAAAATTGAATTGAATTGAATTGAATTGGTACATACTTGACTGGAGAAACTGGTTTTCTGTAAAAATCCATATTTAAAAGGATTTTAGGGCAAGAGAGAACTTGTTTTTCCCCTCCCTGATACCACTCCCTTATAAATTACAAATGAATCTACGAAACCCGGTCCTGTTCAGACAATGATTTTTGTTCTCTTTTCTGATTTTGGTTAGTTTAAAAAAAAGACTATATGTGAAAACACCCTAAAACCTGCAAACTTTTTATTTATATTAACTTTTATATTATCATATCCATTTGTCAGACTTAAGGTGGCTGCAGGTTTAACTTGGCAACTTTATCCATTTAACTTGGTAAACTTTCTTCTTGGAATTGGCCCTCTGTACGTGCTGTATGAACGTGTATGAATGTAACTATTTCTAATGTTGTTTAGTTTTCCCCATCCTGAATGTCTTTCATGAAATTAATTACTCCTGGTTTTATGAGTAATTTTATGGACCTGCCTGGACCTTTAGTTCAGGTTAAACTTTATCTTGTTTACTTTGCCTGATCCTGGCTGACTGGCAGTTGTTGGTTCTTTGCCTTTTTATTTTTTTTTTTATTACAGTCTGTTTATATACACTTAACTTCCAGCTGAGTATAAGAAAGGCTTTGTCACTGGCCTTGTAACAAACTGATGGAAAATAATGAGAGAATGTCCCATACACTGAAATGTGTGATCTGTCTCTGTCACCCATACTTACTTTTGGTATGACAGTAAACATGGTATTATGCAATTCTTCTCTATGGGCTTTTACCAACTGACTTGTTTATGGTAGATGCATATCAACAATAATAAAAGTTAAGTATGTCCACAACACTGATGTGTATCAGTAAACATTAAGTCATTTGTCCTTGCTTCCTCCTCTTAAGGCTTTCCCAGAATGGCACGCGGACATCAGAAGATTCAGTCTCAGCAGAAAAATGCCAAGAAACAGGCGGAGATAAAGAAGGCCAAGGGTCATGATCAAAAGACGGCAGCCAAGGCAGCGCTAGTGTTCACCTGCCTTGTGTGCAGGGTGAGTACGAACAACACACAGGCCAAAACCTGACTCAGGATGGGAATAGGAATCATTTTCTGTTTTAACGTGTTCATTCTTCTGCCATTTGGTGCCTCTTTTTATTTATTTTTTATTTGTATAAAATCCTTTGATCATTGAGAAATCAACCAAATACAAGGCTTGTGCCATTTACTTAAATTATAACATAATATATGTTGGATGTATTGCCCCTTCCTGCAGTCCCAGATGCCCGACCCAAAAACCTTCAAGCAGCACTTCGAGAGCAAGCACCCAAAATCCCCTCTGCCCCCCGAGTTAGAGGGAGTGGAGGCATAAACGGTCACCCTGGATACCAAACCAAGTTCTTCAAGGCCCTGCACCAACTCTGCACTTGTCACAGTCTGACAGCAATGGATGATTTGATGTAACCAACATGAAGCAGTTATCTTCATTTAGGCTTTAATAAGCCCGGTTGCCTTTGATGCAATGCTTCCTCCCATCCAGTCCTGTTTTTGCTCGTGTTTAATCACACATGGGGCTAAACCCAAATGCCCGTTTTTTTCCGTTTTCAGGGCCACTGAAGACCTGTCCGATCCAGGAACAATCCAAGTGGTGAATGAAGATTTCTTCCTTCGTTCACACGGTTTCTCAGAACAGACTCCTCACTACCCTGAGGTGTTGTGCACATAGGAAAATTTCTTGCTGCTAGCTCTTGTACCTCTTTCTCTGACGCTTTGGTGGATTGATTATCTGATTAAACCTTTATAGCCAACATACCACATGAGTATACACGCATACAGTGTCATTAAACAAAGCATGGATTTGGCTTGGGTGGGAGAATTCTGATTTTTAAGTCTGCTGCAATCAAGGCAATGACAAACGTGACCTCATTCTCTTATTAGTGTTTTGAGTATTGAATCAAAAGGAGGCTGTGACATTTTTTTTCACACGTCCGTTGTTAAGTATGGGATTCCCCCACAGCGCTGTCTGCCATGTTCTACTGCAGTCTGTCATCTAGCTAATCATAATTTCATGTTGGGTCACAAAAATGTGAACATTTTGCTAGCCATTTCCAAGAATACTACATGAATTGTCAGTTAATTAAATTTCACAGGGGCTTGTCTGCAGCATTTGTATGCTTGGAAAATGAATGTATGCTCCAATGATGTATTATAACATTTTATTAAATTTTACTTTGTTGTATATCTGCTTTTCTTTTCTAGCATGTGAATTTTCTGCACTAGTGCTTTGTAGGATGCATGATGAAACAGACAATGTGTACATAGTGTCTTTGAGTAGATAATATTATTAGAAAGAATCCTCCCTATCTGCCCTTATGGCAGTTTTCTCAGGCCTTATAGATACTGTATGTGCAACCTTTTTTTTTTTGTTCTGAACTTAAATTCACTGTGTAGATTTTAAGGTTTTGTTGGTTCACTTCTACTGACAGTTCAACATTTACTGCATTTCTCTGCAGCTCTGCTCACATAGTGCAAATGTTTTTTTTTCACATTATGAAAATGAGAATTATTCATAGGACATCAGCTGTCACTTGTAAATGTACAGTAATTAATGGATAATGATGAATATTTGTGTACACTGTATTGCACTTTACCACTCGGGAACCTTAAAATCTGGCTGAAAGGGAGACAGGAAGGTTGAGAGTAACTTAACAGCTGATTTGGACATTATTCCAGGAGGCCATGTTAATAATAAATGATCTTACACTGGGGAAACTATACTGATCAAATCAAGTTTTTGGAAGTTTTAACACCTGGTATCAGCTGGTCTTTGTAGGAAAACATTCTCTGATGTACAGGAAATTATGCATTATACACTAGCAGCAATTTTACATAGTGAGTGCTTGTTCTTTCTCTCAGGGGAAATTGCAAAACTCAGTAAATATTAGGATAGTTAACAGTGCTGAACAGGAAAATGAATACCTTCAAAAACCAACAGAACAATCTTATACTTGAAATATAAAAACAAAATCAAAACATCTTGAAGATATCTATTTCATGTGTGTTTGCATATTAATTCATACACACCTGTAATAAATTGAAAGGAAAAAGGATGACACTTGGAAAATAGGACAGGAATACCAGTGCCAAATCTGAAACGGATATTCAAATTGTAATGAAACAGATATATCATTGGTGCGATGCAGAACCTGATACCAACTGTCATAAAAGGCCTTGTATCAGCCAAACTGCTGACAACAGGAAATGACTAAAACTGCAGCACTGTCTGAGTCTAATTAACAAAAAATGATAACTCCATTAGTCACTTGACCAGCTGAAAATGATATCTTTGACTTTTATTCATCACATTTCCTGCGGCCCTTTGTCTCCAGCCATAACATGCATCAGTTCAGCTCAGACTGAAAAGATGTGTTGTGTTCAGTACAGACAAGAAATAACCACAGCATCACATTTACTGGTATTACAAGCGTTGCCTTGTATTCACTTTAGTCTCTAAAGGTCATAAAATGAATCTTTGTCTCAACTGAGCCAGAGAAACATCTCTTTTTTCCCCTGTTCATTCTGAATATGTTGCCTGTTTCTTCAATGGTTTGAGCAGCTCCACTAAATGAGTCATGGCTCACATTGTTCCCCCGTCTCCTCACAAATAGTCCACCTCCTTCCTTCCCATCTGTAAACTTGTTGTGAATGAAGAAAACACAACTTGAGTTCATTCATGCAAACACACACACACACACACACACACACACACACACACACACACACACACACACACACACACGCACACACACATCTGCTAGATCTCCTTTGTGTGTAGTGTCCTGTCTGTTTGGATTGAAACACAGGACTGACAGGAAAAGGGCAACACTTGAACAAAATGAATTAGTCGCCTTGATAAGTTGAAGGAATTAATTAGATTCCCACCTGCTATTAGATCATCTATTGCCAGGCACATATGTCAGTTTGAAGAGATGAAAACATTTGCAAATCAGAGACTGCTTTCATTTTAGTAGTGATGAAGGAACACTGGTTATTAGTCTTCAAACATCTATGGTGAATTCAGACCAAATGGTTTATGTGCATTTTTCTTTTCAGGAAAACAACTCTGGTCAGTGGCGTCCGTGGCAACAGCACTGCTATATTATATATCAATTTCTCTCTGGGCCCAAAAACAAACTTGTCAATCTACTGGCCCGCTTCAGAATAACTCAAAAACCCCACCCAAATGTTAATGGGCTGAGGCACGCCCTGTTCAAAACCTGATTATTGAGCAATTCTCCCACCAGCAGTCAGTGCTGGAATCATTCTTCTTCTAGTGATGTCTGAGGTAGGCGCTAGGTGGAGCCTCCGGGGCCTATTTTATTATTATTTTATGTCATTGGGAAAACATTTAGGGGAGCATCACTTTTATTTACGTATATATGTTGCATCTACCTTAGCTGTTGGTTGTAATAAACAATTTTTAAAAATTGTATTTAGTCACTATAATGAGATGTAATGAGTCACTGTTTATCTAGTTCCTGTAGTCCTAATTGCTACTAATTAGCAAACTTTTCCACACATGATTCACATCCTTTAAAGAAATATTGTTTGTTTATTTGCCCCCCTGACTGTACTCTTACACTCACACACAACTTTATATTTAAACAATAAAAAAAAATATATATATATATATATTGTAAGACAAGTTAAGGGGCATCCCTGTGTGATACCAGGGGGACTAATTAGTATTACTGATTAGCTTTTTTGCAAGACTAGTGGAACTAGATAAACAGGGATGGTGTCTGGACTGATGTTTCTGATGAAACTAACTATCAAACCAGTGGGGCAAGCCAGTAAGCCAGTGTATTTACTATAAAGCCTGGGTAAGCAGCTGAGCATCAGCCCTTCTCCTGGACAAGGTTAGGACTCAAAGACAACATTAAGGTATGGAAGTGCAGGGGTTAAAAATGGTGTCCCCTGTCAGAGGGCTCAGTAGATTTACTTGCTGTGGAGCTTAATGATAGGTTAAAAACATTGTTTAACACTTCTTCAATAGTGATGCTCATTGTTATTATGAATCAAATCTTATCTATGATTTATTTACATGTCAATATATATATATCAATGTGTCTGCATACCTCTCAGTAAAAACAAATAGTCATAAGTGTACTTTTTTTCATTTCTTTATTTTTCACTAGACTAGTTTCCATAGCAACCTAGCATTTTGGACACTTGTATAAGGAATTTCGTTAGTTTAGTTTAACGTTAGTTCGTTTCCTTGACCTTTCCCCTAGTTATCCTAGCCTTAATATTTGTTTAAATAAACATCTGCTCAATCAGGATGCCGTTTTCTTATCCCTGTTTTAAAATACATCGGTACCTAACGTTACTCCAATATTTATCAGCAACATTTTAACTCCTTCTCGTCTAACCTACGCTAGATTGTATCAACTACATCTCCCATGAGTCTTTGCTGAAGTTGTTGGACAAACGCTCTTTGCTTTTGTTTGTTTTTATGCTTTACATAAATTTTCATAACGTTACTACAGTAAAGCTTTGTAGGGGTTTTTTTTAGACGCGGATAATAAAAAAGAAGCAGTGACCCGAATTGAGACGCACACAAAAAGTGTGTTCTCTACTGTTCTACACTCATTGTTTGAATTTAAAAAATAAACTAGCATTAAGTTGCCTGTTTACGGAGAAATTTTGTCCACTAACCGGCTTAAAACAATTTTTTTTTTTTGCCTGTAAATTTCGTTGCCCTAGCAACCCGAGTCTGACGTCATCAGTCCCGGTGCGACCCTGCTGCCGTGTCTTTGATTGGAGGGAAACCCCGTGGATGAGCGGGAGAGATCATCAGCTGTGCGGCCGGGAATCAGGAACAACATCATCTGACGACACTCACAGGTAAATTCACATTTATTACCTGCGGATTATTTCGGGGGATGTTTTTCGACGGAAAGCTGTTAGCTTCGCCCCGTGTGCTTTGTGCGGACCAGTTTAATCCCGCAAGAACCGCTGCCACTGAGACTGTAAGAGGAAACCAGTGATGCGCCTCTGTTCAGTCATTGTTCGGCGCTTACTGAAGGAGGGAAGAGCCGCTGCACTTTATCCCCTCTATTTCTTTTACTCGCTGTGTTTTTAGAAGGAGGTTTTCGTGTCAAATGAGCTTTTTGTAAGTGCAGCGCCGTACAATGAATGCTCGCAGAAGCAGCAGCAGCCCTGGTTTGTTTTCCGGGACGCTTAAAAAAGGGCGTTCACTGTGGACTGAACTAAGCAAGGGCTCCTTTCATTCTAGTTTGACTGATTGGGGACCCACCAGCATTGACTCTTATCAATGCATCTGCAGCTTTATTACGCATTTTAACTTAAACTGTGAAAGTAATAAAGCTAAATCATACGGGAAGGCTTTTCTTTTACGGGTTGTACACTGAAGGAGCTCGGTGGGCAGGTGTGTGTGTGTGTGTGTGTGTGTGTGTGTGTGTGCGTGCGTGTGTGTGTGTGTGTGGCCGACATTCCTCAGAAGGGCGCAGGTGTCTGCTGCTGGCAAATCTGACTCACTTATCGTGTGATTTTAAAAAAATACATAGGTGTGTGTGTGTGTGTCTAATGTTGGTCATATTTGATAGATTGCTGTTCAGTTTTGCCTCACCTGTCTTATTTTAAATTAGGTCTTGATTAATGAAAGACTTTATGTCCTGCACTTAACCTCATACATGGTCAATAATTGGTCTGGAACTGGGCAATGAATTAAAGCAACACAAAAGTTTGAATAGTAAAATCAAGATTTAAACTATGGAAGTTATGAGGGAATGTGCAGCTGCTAAGGACTCTATATATATATATATATATATATATATATATATATATATATATATATATGAGTAATTACCCATATCCTTTATCATATGAGAAGAAAGTGGTTATCTTTTTGTAGTCGGTTTGTAAGAAGAAAAAATTGTAATTTAAAACTTGTACTCGTAAAGTGGGTGTGAGTGTGTGTTTTTTATTTTAAGGCAATGTTGCCCAGACCTACATGCAAACCTAATTAAACGTTATATTTTAACTAGTGTGGTTCTATTACAACTAAATTTAGTCGTACATTTTTAATTCAACATGTTATTTTGCAAATTTCTGTCCTAAAATGAATCAGTTTGGAGAAGACTATTACTAAAGTAACACACGGTAGTACACGTATAACAACTTTCTCTTTCCAATAACTTGGCTGCCAAGTGAATT